GCAGCTGTACCTTGAACACTGAACATCCAAAGTGTCCAGGGAAGCCAGAGGTGAGCAAATTCACCTCACGAGAGTGGATACTCGATTATACCCAAAGATCCCTGAAACGGTAAATTCTGAAAGTGGGTGACTTGACATCCATGCGTGGCGAGTCCCAGAACAGGTTTCTAGCTGCGTGGCTGTGAGTCTTGAAGATTCAGCTGCAATCATGAAACACCAGCCAGATTTCCTCCCCAGTCAGCCACTGCAGCTGAATGGCCCAGACCACCTGTCTTGATCCAGCAAAGCACTTGGCTTTTGTTCCTGACAAACAAGAGAAATGTGAGCTGGATCATAGTGGCTGGGCTTTGGACCTGAATGGTCCCGGTAAAACAGGGTCCGGGTGGTCTCTGGGATGTCTCAGCTCCATCTCAGCCCTGGGCTGCCTACAGATGTCATGAGTTCCTTGAATGGAGGTGGTAGAAGCCTCTCTATCCCACAGATGGCCCCTGGCTGCGGTGGTAATGGTGGTGATACAATGGATAAGTGAGGCAGATTCAAGGCAGCCCTGACAGACTGTAAAGTTGGGTTGAGACCAACAAGATGAAGGTTACCAAGGATGAGTGTGAAAGCCTGTGCTCAGACTCAAAAAAAAAAAAAGTTACATAAGCACAGGACTGAGGAATATGGTTCGATGGAAATTTCTATTAAAAAGGAGGTGATGTGTGCAATCTCACCTACTCCTGGCTAGCTACTCCAGTCTAAAGTGGGGGGGGGGGGGTGTGTGAGTTCAAGGACAGCTTAGGCTGCATAGTGAGACACTACCAAAAAAGGAGGAAGAGAGAAACAGATGGAAGTGGGGGGAGGGGAAGGAAAGTAGGAAAGAGGAAGGGAGAGAGAGAAAGGGAAAGGAAGTAAAAGGAAGGAAGGAATAAGGGAGGAAGGGAGGGAGGAGGGAAAGACCTGGTGGCTTGTCCCCTTAAGCAGAGAGACCTAAAGGGAGGGAAGTCCGCTTACTTGTCCTCAGTTCCCTCAAGGGTAGGAGGCTGTGCTGGAGATCTAACGGGACAGAGGGTGAAGTGTGTGGTTAGATGGGGACCTGTTCATGCAGAACAGACGTGGAGTGATGGTGACAACCAGAAATAATGAGGAGAGAAAGGTTGTTTGGAGCAAGTCTTCAAATGTGGGGTTCAGCGGCTGAGGAAGACCCAGTTTGCCATTCTTGAAGCTGGAACCAATGGGGTTCCTCACGGGAGAGATAGCTGCTTCCAGGTCTCCAAGACGTCTCTAGTCAGGTGACTCCTCCAGAAGAAGGGGTCTACTACTCCAGAGACGGCAAGCCCCTCCCCCCGACCACCAGTAACACCATTTATTACACCCCTGCTCCTGTCAGGCTTGTGGTCAAGTTCCAGGAACAGACTGTGTAGACCAAGGTGGCCTTGAACTCACAGAGACCCGCCTGCTCTAATTAAAGGGTCATGGTACCACCCCCTAGCATTTCAACCGCACTACTAGGTAGAGGTTATTATACTGTCATATATTATATGTCAATTATAATAACTGTCATTTTAAAGGACAAATGAGGCTGAACATGGCATCTCACATTTGAAATCCCAACACTCCGGAAGCCGAGGCAGGAAGATGGATTGCCATGAGTTCGAGGCCAGTCTGGGCTACCTAGTGGGTTTCAGACCATCCTGTTTTGTTTAAAACAAACAGAAGAGTGAGAACCGGAAGGCTGTAAGGAACATATCTTGCCTAGCTTGTTTCTGAATGGGAGACATGAGAGAGAGGCCAGACACGACCACAGGTCTCCTTAGTGCCGAAGACCGCAGCCTCTTTGCCATTGATGAGCTTTCCCTGGGAGAGAAGGGAGTCTCACTCTTTTGAACCACGCACAACCCATAGGAGTAAGCAATAGCCATTCTTCTACCCCTCCAATTTTACACCACATCTCAAGAGCTCTCGAACCCCAACCCGGGTAATAACCCCCTAATCGCTGCGCTGTCTTGAATTGT